AAACGACGTGTAAATGCAAGTAAAACGACGTGTAAATGCAAGTAAAACGACGTGTAAATGCAAGTAAAACGACGTGTAAATGCAAGTAAAACGACGTGTAAATGCAAGTAAAAACGGACGTGTAAATGTAAGTAAAACGGACGTGTAAATGTAAGTAAAACGGACGTGTAAATGTAAGTAAAACGACGTGTAAATGTAAGTAAAACGACGTGTAAATGTAAGTAAAACGACGTGTAAATGTAAGTAAAAACGACGTGTAATGTAAGTAAAAACGATGTGTAAATGTAAGTAAAAACGACGTGTAATGTAAATAAAAACAACGTGTAAATGTAAGTAAAAACGGAATTCTGTTATTTATGACAAAAAAAAAAACAATAACACAATTTATTCACAATGGAACACAAAATCCAGAACTGTCCTGAGGTCAGACTGATCCAAATCTGAAGTTCTGTTTGGAAAGCAGAGGCCAGGAACCATTTAGGCTGGCCTCTCTGATGGTATGGGGGTGCATTAAGTGCATCTGATGTGGACAGCTTACATGTGTGGAAAGAGTCCATGCAGAAAGGTGTACAGGTTTTAGAACATCTGCTCCATCCAGACAATGTTGGACCACAAAGTGTCTCAGCTTTATGTAGAAGAGTCCAGGAGGTGCAGTGACCTGCTGCAGACCAGACCAGACCATCAGACACAGGACTGTCAAAGGCCAGAGTGGTGGCTGTTTCCAGACTGGGCGTGGAACAGCACACGTGTTGCTGCCAACTGGTCAGCTTCTTCTATGAACCGTGTTCTACTGGAAATAACATTTAGGTTGACAGATGACGGTGTTCTGTTTTTTATATTTTACAACTTTGTGTCGGTTGGTGTTTTTTCACCCATTACTTTCTGAGTGGTTCTAAATCCATCCAGGGATTCAGAGATATTTTACTAACACACTGAGAAATGCTTGAGGTCACCAGTCCAGACGTCTCCACTGCTCAGAGTGAAGGGACAGAGTCTCAGACCCGTTGACCTGTCTGGGACAGGAAGTCTTTCCATGCTCGGGTCAGACCGTGGTCCATCCAGCTGTGGGGCTGCTGCTGAAGACTGGTCAACATGTGTGTTGGGAGCTGTGGTGCAGCTGGACCCCGGCGCTGCTGTCACTCAGGTCCTCCGCCGTGTCTCCAAAGCCGTGGCAGTGTCCGTACAGCAGGAAGTCCCTGCAGTCCTCTCCCATCAGCCTCCAGGAGCCCCCGGGGCTGCCGCTCAGGTGGAGCGAGCCGCACATGTCGGCCGAGGGGGGGCTCACACACGGGTCGGTGTGGTCTGAGGCCGGAGGGTGGTGGGGGCTGCTGGGGAGGGCCGTGGTGCTCTCATCTGCTGTAAAGCATAAAAATCATCATCATCATCATGGTTCACCTTACGTGATGTTCTCCAACACCACCAGGTGGACTTTTCACTCTGGCTAGACGCAGCAGCTACACTCGTCACACGTAGTGCCAAGATGCTACACATGTAGCTTCTCTCACACGTCCCATCAACACCTGCCGTCAGTAGCATGTTGGGGCGGGTGTTTGTGAGACGGACACAGTGACCACCACAGCTACTAGCTCGCTCGTGGCGACACTGAACGGACTGTGACGCATCATGAAACATCAACTGTCGGCTGCGATGAACACATTAATCACTAAAACCAGCTGTGAGCAGTAAAAGCTTAAACTAGCCCAATATCAGCTGAACGTAGCCTAGAGGGGAAACGCAGAGCGGCTTCACTGTGACACCAAGCCGACTCGTCTCGGTACTGAACGTCCAGAGGAAGCTGCAGACCCACCTGGGCTCAGGTCCAGGTTCATGTCCTCCTCCTCCTGAGCCGGGCTGCGCTGGACCACCTGCTGCTCCGGCGCCGCTGCAGTCACACACAAAGATGTTCACATGCACAAACAACATAATGTGATCCTTACAGTGTCTCACCTTCAGCCCGCCTGGCTTTCTTCATGAGAGCCACCTCCCTAACGGGCCGCTGCCTCTTTCTGTAGAGCAGCCCCCGACCACAGGGGGCGCCGCCGGCCCCGTTCTGCAGCCCCCTAAACTGCTGCAGGTCGGTCTGAGCACTGGACATGAAGCAGAAACAGTCGAGGAAGCCGTGAGCGTGGGCCAGGTCTGCTGCCGTCTGCCCGCTGGAGTTCCTTAATCTGAACCAAAGCAGTAAATGGTAACTGGACCGTACTGGTACAGAACCAGTCTATCTGGTGAACACACTCAGAGCTGCACAACCTGTGTCCTCGTACACATTCACACAGCTGCTACATCTGCAATCACAGCTCTGACACATTCAGACACCGATGGGACACACATCAGAGACAACGAGGTGTTCAGAGTCTTGCCCAGGGACACTTCAGCATGACACTGCTGGTGGAATCAAACCCACAACTCTCCCATTGGAGGACGACTGCTCTAACCACTCAGCCGCCGATGCAGAGCGACATGCAGAGAGACCCAGAGCGAGACACAGAGTGAGACACGGTTAGACACAGAGTGAGACCCATCCAGAGTAAGATGTAGAGACAGAGTGAGAGACAGAATGAGACCCAGTGAGACCCACGTACTGAGACGAAGAGTGAGACCCAACCAGAGTGAGACACAGAGTGAGACCCATCCAGAGTGAGATGTAGAGACGGAGTGAGACAC